CATGTCTTTAGACTGCGGAGGCGTGATCGGCGCTAATAGAGGTTCTGAGTCCGCACTGGTAGCCAGTCAACCAAAACCTCTTTCCTCAAACTTCACCGGTGTAAGGTGCCGAACGCTGCATGGGACGCATGTTGACATTACTCTGGAATAATTCAATGGGTTTCGCCCTGAGTTTTATACAAAGTGGATTGGATTCTGTTTTGGAACGTGTCATTCACACGCAAAGCAAGTATCTGTTGCACCTTTAATAGCGCAGGTGTCTCGTCCGAACCCTGTCATGCAGTGAGGACTGCTGTGTTGTCTTGTTTTTAATCAGACCAAGACATTGTCCGGTGGCACACGTACGCGGAGAGGGGTTACGCAAATTTCCAAATGTCTTCAAAACGGATGACTACTTTATCTTTTTAAAGTTCCGGTTTTTTTTTTTAATAAAATGTGATTTTACATTCACCCAAGGCCTGTTTGTTGTGACGCACCGACCCTCAGTACCAACCCCCCCTCATCGCATGGACAACGTGACGCGGCTTCAACCCCACGTGACGTATCACATGACGCGATTCGCCGGCGCCTCCGTAACAAACCGGCGTTGTTTTACAAGGTCTTCTTGCCGGATTGAGCACACGGCACACCCAGTATTGTCACGGAGACATTCTTGCACGTTATCCAAAACGACGATTTAGCAAAGAGGGGAACCGAAAGGGAGCGTTTTGCGGACCACATCCAAGATGGCGGCCGTGATAAATAAAGAGGCAGGTTTGGGTACAGAAAAGCCATGTTTGTGAGGGGCAGACGTGGTCCGCCTCGGCTGCACCGCATCTGCTCAGATTAAGACGCGGAACGTTTCGGACCTCAATGTTTCAGGTTTACTCGATGAAATCCGCAGACCAGCTCGGTCTGCCGTACTTGAGAGACGTGGGCAGCCCACTGTCGTTGCACAGCGAGCGAGTTCTGCGTCTCCGGAGGTGCTCCCTCCTGCGCACAGGTCTGCGTTACAGACTACGGGACCCACTCTCTTCAGATCCAACCCAACCCAACCCAACCGCGCGTCCCCCCCCCAAAGCTCGACCATAAAAGCCATTATAGAAGAGGAGGAGGAGAGGCTGTCTCGAACTCACCATGTGCAGCGGCTCCCGTCCACATCGTCTGCCACTGCGTCCGCGCCGGGCTCCGGTCACTCCTCGGAGCACATCCGTGTTTTCGCTAGCGGCTTCACCTCCCCTGCTCTGCCCGGACATAAATCATCGGTCATGCTCAGCCTCGCGCTTGCACGGAGCCGTGTTTCGCACGTGGGTGGGGGGGCTAAAATTGAGGTTTTGTTTTTCCTCCGTCTCTCCCCCCCCCAGCACTACCACTACCACCAACTCCTCCTCCTCCTCCTCCGTCCGTCCTTTCCCCCGGAATTTCTGTATAACGAAGGAGGTCTCCGTGATGTCACCTCGGAGGGGCGGTACGCGGTGTGTGTGTGTCTCTGTCTCCCCTCCAGAGGCTAAAACAAGGCGTCTCAGGGTTGCAAATGTTCACGCTCAGACAGCCCCATGCGCTGTTGTCCGCGACAAAACAGAAACCACGAAATCATCGACTTCGCCCCAAACGCCCCTTAATTTGAAGTTCTGCCCATTTTAATTTCCAGAATGTGGGTAAAAGGTGAAAATCGAACTTCTAATACATTTTCTGTCCGGTTAGCGCTTCTTTCACGAGGCAGAAAGTGGTTCCTTATTCGCGTTTTTCGTTCCACCTCGAACGCGGCTGCGGTGATGTCATGTCGGCTGCCGCCTGTAGGCGGCTCTCT